AGCCTGGCCCACTGCCGTCAGGGCCCTGCGAACAGGGGAAGGAGAGATCTGGACCGGTAATTCTTCATATAATACCTTTCGATAGCTGAATATGTACGGAATCCTGCAGCTGGCCATACTTGTACGGCATGTGGATGCAAGCATGATGGTACATTTGCTAGTGTCTCCCTGACTCCATTGTAAATAGAACGGGCTTGCCTCCCTGACCCCACAACCCATATAGCCAACCAGCCAGCAACCTCTCCTCCCATCCGACCTCCTGAGGGTTTCCTTCTGGCTCCTCCCCCTGCCCATACTTGAAACCCCTCCTGGGCCTCCTGGGCTTACTCCCCTGGGGCCGGTTACTACTTCTCTCCTATATGCTGTAGCAACACACACCTTAAAGGGGTACCACAATTCCCCCAAACTGCCCAAGCGCAAAGGAAACGGACAAGGCAAAGCTGCAACACCTGGGGATAAACAGTGCAATTCAGGCCATCCACCTTCAACTCTGCATGGGTGCCGCCAGTCCGGACCTCACATTGCCCAGCGCTACTAAGACTCCTGTCTTACATGATCCCGTTTTTTGTTGTAGTTGTACCAAGAGGGGTTCTTCTTTAACTGTTTTGTTTTCAGGTGTGGCATAGAGGGGCTTTTTTCTTTTCCTAGTTTAGTGCCAAAGAATTTTGTTCTCTTGGCTGTTTAGACTCCAGCCGTATTTCATTGGATTGTATGGAGGAGTACACAGACTGGCTTTTCTGCATTTGGTAATGGCCCGGGGGAGGCTACTACTATCTTAGTTGTTTGGTCAAAGATTCCTGAGATCTCTGCCTGTTGTCTCCATGATGATGTGCCGCTGTTCTGATCTTTTTCACATCTGGCACTGAGGCGGACAACTTCATTTTTGTACTTCAAGTTTAGTTCTAGATTCTATAGATCTACCCCCTGCATGTCCATTCCAATGTCCTTATTCTGCATCTTTCTGGATCTCTTGTAAACCTCTCCCCCATTGTCAGGCTTGCTATATTGGCTTTGTCTTTTGCTTTGACATCCTCTAGTACTATGGGACCCCACCTGTCTGGTTGTTTGGCCTCTGGCTTCTGTTATAGGCAATTTTCATTGTTCTAGCCTCTATATCTTGTATTTTTCTCCTCCACTACCAATCATCAGTTCTATCCTACCTGTATGTTCCTTGCCTCCATGTTCAAACAAGGCATTCTTACTCTCACCCCTCCAGTCAGGTGTCTGGCATTCCCACACCCCCCCCTCGCTGGCAAATCTCATATTCATGGCCACCCTGGTGTAGAATTAAATCACAATTCTTAGAACCCTACTACCCCAGTCCATTTCTGGCCTTGCCTCAAGCACTGCCGCCAACTCTTGGCTATTGCTTCTGGTTAGGATGTTTGAACTGAGATTCAGCTGCACTAATTTCATACCAAGATATAAACCTTCTTTTCCCTTGTCCTTGCCAGGTGCCCTAGGTGTCTATTCACAACTCTTATCGCCTAACGCTACTGTTTCTGGCTATATTCAGCTTGAATAGTGTCTTTAGATTTCGTTCAAGTTTCAATTTCATATCACTCAACACTTCAGATGTCCAATGATAGTTGAGTACTTGAGTACACTCTGTGATATTTTTGTTCTCTACATATGGCTAAATATTCGACAAATTAAAGTTTGTAGACAATTCTAGCACAATCTCGTAGACTGGTACCTTTTCACCCAAGATTTATTATGTGCTAAGATGGCTGAGTGTAGGAATGTATTCTTCAATTAAGAGTACCATGCCCAAGGCTGAAAGGTGTCATTTTGTGGCGTAATCTTTTCCAACAATACTGTGTAATAGACTGTGATTATACCAATTACCCCTTAGTCATTGTGTAGAAGACCTGGCAGGTCCCACGAGACCCAAGGAAACTCTACCAACCTAAGACCTTCTCTGTACTTGCAATAGGAACCTGGCCCTTCTTCATATATTTTCTGCTCTGCGATATCAAAGTATCAATTAAAAAATACGCAAAGAATACCCATGTCAGTGTAGCCAGCCAGCTGTCCAAGTTGGTAATCTGTACAGGCATAAAGATGACGCCAGGTCTGATGGAATGGCCTCTGGGAAAACCTCCCTCAAGATCCAAATCTCAGCAAAACAATAGTCACAGCTCTCCTATGTCGCTATCGAACAAGCAGCCCTTCCACTGTCATTCTCCTCTAACACCACTTGCAACCCTATTGGCCCGACCACCCAAGCCCCTGGCCCATACAACAAGCATGAGTACCCTGCATGCTGTCACGGCCACCCCGCGTGCTGGACGTGGTGGAACATTGGACTTTTGGTTGCATATATCGGCTGTGGTTTCTTTGGTTGCGTTGTAGGATTTCCTTCGTGTTATGATTGGGATAGGTTGCCACGCAACGGAACCTGGCGGAACATGATGGAAAGATCGCGGCTGCGCGCGACGCCAAGGGCTTTCTTTTGTATTAGTGGTCATGGAGGATTTCCTATCTATATAAGGGGGTGTGCCCCCTTATACTTTATGTTCTTTACGCAATCTGGTAATCTCCTTTGGGCACCTGTACCTAGGAATTACACTCTCTACTATCTGGCGTCCTCTTGAACCCCTGAACCCCGACCCTGAACTCCTGAACCCCGAACCTCGTACAACTCGCTTCGGTTGTACCCCCGCACCTAGACCTCGTCTCTAGATTCCTGTCTATCCTGATCGTGGTGTGCCTTGGGCTACCCGACCCTCAGACCTTGTCCGTTACAGAAGGAGATATTCGGGGAAATAAATCCAAAAAAACTCCTTTTTGCACATATCAAACTTAGTCCAAGTCAGATTTGGAAGCCTTCTAGCTTCTACAATACCTGGTAATAGATGACTAAACTGGAAGAGTTGAAACTTTTGCATTCTCTTTAAGGGTTTTAAGTATCCTGAGAACGCTTGATCCTAATCTCTAAAACTGGTCCCATGACTATCATCAAAATGTCAAACAGATTTGATCTTGCTAGTTCCATGTATTGAGTCTACCACATTAGCATACTCATCTGGAATCCATACTTCACATCCATTAGCTTTCAGTTTAATTGTACTAAAACCGCTATTCCCACTATTTCGTGTAGGGTCTTTGATTTGAAATACTAGCACAATATTGTCACTACGTTCTAGTATTACAAGCCTGTAAAGATACCAAATCATGATCTTATTCTTATTTTTTCCTCCACACTTGTGTGTCTCCCCACAATATAATCTGTAACTTAAGTTTATCTTGCACCATTAGAACTTGATGAAGAAGAGATACAATCTGATTGGCACCTTTTCTCTGCTGAGCCTCTGTATATATATCATGATAATGCTGCTCAATTGATTTATCCACAATTTTTAAAAGATAGGGTTTAAAGGGAGATCAATAATATCACGCAGATAGCCGTTGTAGTATGTGTGGGATTTGCACTACCTGTTGAAAATCAATGCTATAACATCCTACCTTCTCAGCATACCCGCTTGATGACTACATACTGGCCTCATACTCCTGACGACAGATACAATATTCTATCTGATGATGTTGTAACTGTTCTCTATTGGACCTAGTTACCTGAGCCTTAATTGGACCCATATTCCGGTCCAACATCATATCATCCTCAGAGCTATCTTCAAGTACCAAGTCCTGCTTATACTGGTTTCTCAAGATAGTGCATTCATCACAAACATTGTTCGATGGCTTTCCTATCTTCATAAACTTACAGACCTCCTGCCTTTTCCAAAATTTGTAAAAATACTCAAAAGAGTATATTTTCTGCTCATTGGTATTACAATTATTAGCAATATATCTTTCATAGATTATATGATGAGAACGATGAGAAGGGATAAAAGTGACAAGTTCTAGCTCCATGTAACTAACTACTCTACTATCTTTCAAAGTTTTTTTGAAAGTTCTTGTAGCAATTGATTCACTCTCTTCTTGCTTTAGTATACCTAAAAATGTTTCAATTCCTGCAGCAAGTTAGTCAGCAAATTGATTAGGAGGTCTCTTTCCCTGGCTCCCATCAGCCTTTAATATTGACTTTGTGGTTTTCAACATATATTTTGTGATTGTATTAATTGTTTTTCTATTAAAGTTCCAAAATATGCAAAAGACCTTTCTGCAAACTCTTCCTACAAATGGCAATCTGTAGCTTAATCCATTAAGCTCATTACATTTTGTCTATATCTTTTAGCATTTCTGTTCTTCTTCTATACTCTTAAGATAGACCTTAACTTACAATCAATTCAGGAGATAAAAGATATATAATCATAAGTTTCTTATACTTTTTGCGAAGCTTATCATGATGATAAAGCCATTCTATCCACTTAGTCTCTGTTCCCTTCTGAATATAGTTTTTAGAATAATAACAGGACTTTAAGAAAGTAGAAATTAGGTTTCTTAATCTACTATGGTCATCATAATCCAAAGGGATTATTAGAAGTTAAATAATAAGTCTGTATGTCTACAAAGTAAAATTTAAAACTTACTAGATAAAGATGAAGAAATATGATCATGAAAACTTGCATCATCTGGTGAATCAGTATCATCTTCATCTGACTCAGAACATGACTTGTATTGACTACTCTCATCATCAGTAATACAATTATTACTAGCATGAACCACCCTGAGACCTCGACGATTCCTGTTGCTTAGTCTCTCAAACAGGTAAAATATTATAGTTTAATTTAATCTCTTGTTCATAGACTCAAGACCATGATAATATAATGTAATCTCTCTTATTACCTGTAGAAATTGATGGTTTATATCGACGATTCTCATTTGTTTAATTGTATAATAGTATATTAGAAAGAAAATATAACTGTTAAAGAACAGAAAACAACTAAAAGTGAACTTTAACCACTTCCTCTCTTATATTTCAATTACCAACTTCAATCCTCTTTTGAATAATAAATTCCCGTTCTATCTACTTTCTTATTATCTCCTGATAGCTTACTCAACTTTTTCCTCCTCCTCCTACAAGATGAATCTTATAAATTTTGTAATAAAACTTCGGGATACACAATATTCTGAGTAGAACGTCCATGATCGGTAAGCTGTGAAGATTTTGCCGCTTGAAGAGTAGTAACTCGAGAAAGTGTAACATAAAGTTGCCCATGTGTAAAGACTGGCTCATGCAGATCAATTCCAACAACATCCAGTGATTGTCCTTGAGCCTTGTTTACTGTCATGGCAAATGATAAACGAATTGGAAATTGATTACCAGTAAGTGTAAAAGGCATTTCACCTGCAGTTGTTGAAAGAGTAATACGAGAAATAACCTTAACTGCTCCATCAAAATCACCTCCTAGTATTCATACCTCAATACACCATCTTTCTAATCTAGTAATAGTCATTCGTGTTCTATTGTAGAGGCTCTATTTAGGATAAAGATTGCGTAGCAAAATACCTGGTACACCAACTTTAAGTTTAAGTTTTAATGGGGAAAGTGAGGCAAGGTTAAGGCTTTGAAGGTATTCAACTGGTAATATATTTCCACCTTCATCACCACCAATACTCTCTGCATGGTCAATTGAAAAGTACTTATGCTCCGGTCCAGGAATCTCTTGAAGTACTTTCTCATTGACTGAAGATACTGTGTCATTCCGCATTGCTAAAATTGCACGTCGTGTAAAGGTAGCAGAGTTGTGATGAGCTGTCTGTAACAGCTCTCATGGTAAAACATGTATGCACAGTTTATCTAATATATTACATAGTGGAATGAACACATGAAGAGAGATAGTACCTTAACACTCAGGCAAGTTGGGCATAGTAGAATCAACTCCAGAAGAGAGATAGTACCTTGACACTCAGGTGAGTAGGACATATGAGATAACCAAGTTGCAAAATCTCGATCATCATTTCTGTTTCTGACCCACATATTTTGATGCAATAAAAGGATTGTTAACTTAGGCCAAATAAATGAGCTTTTCAAGCAGGCCGCTATAGTAGTACCTTGATTACCCTTTCGAACCACAGGAAGAATTTGTGCAAAGTCTCCTCCTAAAACAATTGGGATATTACCAAATAGACAATTTTTCCCTACACCACATATGTCATTCAGTGTACAACTAACACCTTCGAAGCAGTATTTGTATTCCATTGGAACCTCATCCCAAATGATCAAGGATGTTTCTGTCATTAATGTAGCAAGTAAGGAACTCTGAGAAATAGCACATGTAGAGGATTCATTTATTATAACAGGTATTTTAAACCTTGAGTGCGATCTTCTTCCCCCATGTAATAGTAATGATGCTATACCTGAGGAAGCTACATAGAGAACTATCTTCCTCTGGGAACGAAACTAGTTGCATAAAACCTTATACAAAAAGGTTTTACCTGTACCAGCAGGACCAGGTAAAAAGTAACTTGAGGTTAATCCAGGTGCAATGGAATATAAAATTGATGTATAGGTATTATGTTGACCTTCATTAAGCTGTGCAAGGGTATAATCATGTTGCGAAATCTCCTGTATTGGATCATAGTTCAGTTCTCTTGCTATTAACTCATTACCTGCAGTTATATCCCAATTATGTTCATAGCTGGTCAGTCCAAGGTCATGTAATTGCATTCCTTACTCTGCAAGGATTTGAGAGATAAGGTAAAGGCCATAATCAAGATGCAGAGAAGGTAGATGTTAAGGAGTAATTAGAATGGAAGTATGCTCTAATGTATAGATTAGATCATCACAAATGCTAGAACGAAACTGCTCCCAAAGCTTTTGAGGATCTGTAATAGAACCAAAAAGCAAACCTATTGTAAACAGAGTTCTTAAAGATCTGCCACTTGCAAAATGAATCGCTTCATTGACGCACTGTATCCATTCCTCATCATCCTCAAGCAGGCCAGATGCAATACATGCATGTTTAAATGTAGAATGTATAACACGTTGTACTGTATGTAAATGCTCATATGACTGAGCGCCTGGAATAATTGTTAACAAAAGCCGAAAATAGTACTTTTCTCCCATAATTGGAGTACAGTGGTATATTCGTCCAATTGAAACTCCTGATTTCCTTGGTGACTATACTCGCATTGATCTATTATAGGTATAATATGTTGGAAAACCCTGGTAAAGGTATTTGTGGCCATCAGAATGCAAGGTATTGTATTGCAAAAATGCCATAAGTGTTGAGCATGCAGATTCCATTTGATTCAGTAGCTCTTCTTCTGTGATACCATCTTGGAAGTAAACAGGCTGCTCTTCAGGAAGATGAATTACCAGGTGCATAACTGCTGGGTACGCTTCATGCATGCCAAATTCAAAGATGCGCTATACTGCCTCTGTTGGGCCAATATATCTTCCTTGTAAATACTGTTGTACCTTATCCTCATTGTTTCTCAACTCAATAGTACTCCAATCTGATCCTTTATAAATATACTTGTGAATATATTTGATTGCCTGAATTGAAGCACAAACCGCTACATTAATATGTACTTTATAGCGCTAGGAGAGATAGGGATTATATGGTACAATCCATCAATTGTTGATAGTAATAGTTTCATTATTCCTGGTATCTTGTCGTGTGGAAATTTCAATTGATCTACCATCATTTCTTCTTCGGTAAACAGGGTATCCATCCTCCTGAACAGCTGTTGTAGGCTGAAATTTCTTAGGATAATTCTTACTGCATATGAGTATACCACTACTATTTGGCTGCATGCAAGGTGAGCTAGGAAAATGAGATCCACAGGGTCCATGTACCATGGAGGAGTTCACAATTGCTGCAATCTCACCATCTTGGTCTTGAGTAGCATCTGGTATTTCTGCATAAACAATTTCATTAATCTTGACAGGTGTAAGAAATTGATCATCTTTATATAGAAATAATCAAAGATGCATGTCTGGTAAACCACGTTTTTGATACTCAATTGTCCATACATAACCTAAAAACTAACCCAAAATATTTAGATGTATTAACTAATATAGTAATTGATGTTGTTTTATATGAAAGACTCGTGCAACTAAGTCTGGTCGATCTACTGCAGATTGTCCTAGAAGTAGTGCATCTGTAATTTCTTTCCACTTTGGATTGGCTGTAAATGTGATAAAGAGTGTTGGACGTCCAAAGCGTCTCACAATAGCCATTGAATCTTCATACAATTGTTGCATGTATCTATCACCGGCAGTATATCTACTTGGTAGGATTATACGCCGTCCTACCTGCTGAGCATTAAAGTCTTGAGCAATGAGACTAGCAGTAAGTCTCTTATAGATATCTGCAGTTAATTGAGACTGATGGTTGCGAATCCACCCTGATATATTGTGGTCACAGACTGACCAAGCATCTACTAAATATTGTTGAAATGGTCATTGAGAAAGAAAAAGAGTTTTGCATTCATGTTCTCTTAGGTGTAAACAGTATCTTTTTAGTATATTAGTTATCAACTTAAATTAAGCTTCAAATCTCTCAGAAGTACTATCTTACCTATAAAAAACTCATTGATTTAACCTCAACTTCTTTCTAACCTGTCCTTGGTCTTGTATCTCTAGGCTCTAGTGCCAACCCAAATCTTCTTAAGGAAATAGTAAAACATAGTGTAATGCCATATAGGTTGCATGATTTGGATTGATAGTACTGAAAGTACTTCTTGAATTTGCTAAGGGCTTAGCTAAGACTATATCTCGAAATCCTGGCTCTCCATACTCATTGGCAATAATAGCAGCAATTTTATTACTTATAGATAAATTCTCCCTTCTTCTGTCTGCACCTGTCTCCATAACTCATCATAATTGCGGATCCAGAATTACTTGTGCCTCCACCCCACTGTCTTCTATACTGTTTAATTGCTCCTTTGCAGTCTTGTATATATGTATGTATGGATTTACTTGATGCAACTCATTTGTTAGAGCAAATCTAATATGTACTGTAAGCTTTTATCTGATTGTGCACAAGAAATGCAAAATCTGATAAGCCATTGTCCTCTCATGCAGCTTGAATACTCATCTTGAACATGGTTTCTCTCTATATTTTGAACACTCATATTGGCTATCTGAATTTTCAGGACCAGTAACTTGGATCTCTCTCTTATTTATATGTCTGCTCTCTCTCTACCCTTTACACTCCTCTCCTTACCCATAATTCCACACCCTCATCTTCTGGACCACATAAATCTTACTTCTTAAAGTTGCTACTGTAATATAAATAAAATCTCCAAAATCAGTGAAACCAAAGTATGAAGCCATAAAATTAGGAAAAGTAAACTGTTACAAGTGAAGTTCTATTAATATTATTGTTTCTTATTTTACTGGTGTGATTGAGAGTAAACAAACTGACTATTATTACTAATTTTAGGTACAATTGAAAGTTTCTTAAAATCACCAGAAGAAATCTGTAAAAATGAAAGTAAAAAGTACCAGGGATCTATAGAAATCAAACCTGGGAAAATAAAATAGTTCAAGATTGTTTTCGTGTTTCGTTCCTGCTATTAAGTATGAATCAAGTTACTAATATTTCTAATTCTAGATATAGAAAACACAGTATTGAAGCTGCTAAGAAAAATATTAGAAAATAAAAATACAAATAAGAGAAATTTAGAGAAATTAATCGTGACAAAAGCAGAAGGTATAAGAGTTATATTTCTTACTTCATTACTGCTGTTGGGTAGGAACCAGGTCACAAATATGATTCATTCTAGATATAAAAAATTATCCTCAAAATTGGCAACAGAAATTCTACAAAATCAAGATAAAAAAACTGATGATATCTAGAGAAACCAAACCTGATAAAAACAAGGTATTACATATTTGTTTCTTATTTTGCTATTGTTATTAAGTGTAAATAAACTGGCTCTCATTATTGATTTTAGATATAATAAGCAGCTCCTTAAAATCACCAGAAGAAATCAGCAAAGATAAAAACAAAATAACAGAGATCCAAAGAAATAAAACCTGAGGGAAGAAGAAGGTATACAGATTATTTGTCCTCCTTGGTTGCTGCTATTAAGGATGAACTAAATTACTAATATTATTAATTTTGGATATAGAAAACAGAGCCTTAAAGTCACTAAAAGGAATATTAGAAAATAGAAACAAATGTCAGATAAATCTACAGAAATCTATTCTTGTAGAAGCAGAAAGATACAAGAGTTTGATTTCTTATTTTGTTATTGCAGTTGAGTAGTATATACTTGATCACTAACATTATTGATTTTAAGTATAAAAAATATCTTCAAAATTAGGAACAAATATCGGAGAAAATGAAAAGAAAATATAATGACATCTGGAGAAACCAGATCTAATAAAAAAAAGGTACTACATATTTGATTCTTATTTTGCTATTGCATTTAAGGGTAAACAAACTGACTTTTGTTATTGATTTTAGATATAATAGAAAGCTTCTGAACATTACCAGGAGAAATCTGTGAAGATAAAAACAAAAAGCAGAAATACATAGAAATTAAATCTAATAAAGGAAGATAGGTATGAAGATTTTTATATCTTATTTTGTTCTTGCTATTAAAGATAAACCAAGTTATTAATGTCATTAATTTAGATATAAAAAAATATCTACCTATAGTAAGAAATCTAGCAAAATAAAATCAAAAACTAAAAATATCTGAAGTGATCAAATACAACACAAGCAGAAGGTACAAGAGTTTTGTTTGTTATTTTGTAATTGCTGTTGAGTATAAACCAGGTTACTAATATCATTGATTTTAGGTATAAAAAATATCCTCAAAATTAGTAACAGAAATCTCAGAAAATTACTGTAAAAATATAAAAAGTTTAGGAAAACTAAACCTAACAAAAGAGAAAATATAGAACATTATTGTTTCTTATTTTATGAATATTATTAAGGATAAAGCAAGTTACTAATATTATAGATTTAAGATAAACTACAAATTATCATATAGGACTATCCTACTTGTATGCAGGATAAACCTAACAGAGATTGTAATCAAGATGAATATGGGAAACAATAGCAGATAGGTTCTAATGGCTTAGTAAGTAATTAATTTTTCTTTATTAGTTCAATATACTAGTATTTTAAACCAATAACAGGATTTATGTGTAGGAGTATATTTACATCAGAATAAGCAGTTCATATTAGAGTTTTCAAGTAGTTACACAGTTAGGTTATAGTAGAATCAACTACTTCCATAGTTATTAGTATAGTTATTAGCTAAATTAGTGTTAAGAAAAACAAATAACTGATATTGTAACAGATGATTAGGAGAACAAATAGTATTTTTAAGCATATTATCAGATAAGAGAAGATTAAGATATTGTTTGTGATAGCAGTGGTATACTATGCCTAACCAGTAGAGTATGTATAGTAAGTTATTCTTGGCATTTTAGGAACCAGAAAAATCCTTATAAGTAGAACTAATTAAAACTTATAATATAACAGGTAAGAGATTAATAGTAGTAGTCTATACTAAGAGTTAGAGTTATAAGAGGGAACTTAGTAGTTCTAACAATAGAAGAGGCAGATACAGCAATAAGAGGAGTAGTAATAGTATCATCTGATGCTCATCTAGAAGCTTCTATTCTGGAAGTATCAGGACAAGTGAGATTGTTATCACAGTTAAATCATACTTTTATAGATTACAGAACTGAAATAGAAAGTCCATAATTTGGAAAGGATGAATATTAGATATCTAAGATGCAATACTATATACTGAGCTTCTCACTTACCATACAGAAAATTCTAGAATGGAATAGGAAACTTTAAATCCTCCTACAAGTATGGTGATATCAAGATTGAGAGAATAAGAGAACTACTAGAGCTTCTAAATGACTTAAAAAAGGAAGCAGATACTCAGTCAAAACTATTCTGAAAGCAATTACATAGTTGAAATAGTTTCTTTACCTAAATATCTATTTAATACAATATGGATAATCAGCTAAATGAGTAATGTAGTATCTTATAGCTATTTCAGGTCCATGGTACTATATACTCTAGATTGAAATATTTGAAACCTCTCAGACCCAAGAATACCTTTTATTTATAAATCTACCTCTATGATTCAACCTATACTATATAAGTAAGATTACCTCAGTACTAGAATTTAATGCTTATCTAATTTGTAATATAATTATGATGCTTTAGGAACTATATCCATATATATAACTCTAACTAGATACAAAGTAAGAGATGTTTGTATAACTCATAAGTAGTACTATTTAGGCTTAATACAGGTTTTATTATTAAATAAACAAACTCTATTGCCTTTAGAAAGTACTTCTAGATATACCTACTTGAATAATATAGTATACACTAAAGTTTTTCTTTAATATTTATTTTATATCTTATACCTGTTTTTTGTTTCTATTTTCTAACTTCATATTTACCTTATTTGTTACTATATCTTTATTTACATAGTTAAATACATGGTGTATGGAATCTGTCAGTAGGTTCATTTCCACTATCTTTTATTATTTATGACCTGATATTCTTACCTCTGGTATTGTTTCTGTCATCTATGAATCTAACTACTCTAAGCCTCTGTTTTGCTTTACATACCAATTAGTACTTGAGTGAATAAAATATTTTAGGTTTCTGATTACCAGTATGAAATTCTCCTATAATATTATTGTATTTCTTCTATCCAAATCATACATAATACTAAACCTCTGATAATATTATTTAGTCCTCAGGTTCTTGCCTCCAATGTTTTTGCAATCTTGTTGATAACTATATCTTTATGAAACTCGATCTAACCTGCAACAGGCCTCGAGTATCGAGGGGGGGACTGCTAGTAGTACTGAACTATCTAATCTTGGATGTGTTGACTGTCTGAGATCTGCTGGATATTGTAGATCATGAAAATAAAGTTGTGCAAATGCTGGTATACTACCATGGTCTGGTTGTGAAGGACCTTGCAGATGACATAGTTCTCCATGAATTTGGAAGCATTGAATACCAGTACCATGTACTTACAAGTGGTTATCAGGTTGATATTTGAGTGAAGTAAAGGTAAGAGCTGAATTGTATTCACGCATCTTAGAAGGAAAGTTTCGTGCAACTGAATCTAGGGATTCTAGAAGATATTGTAAATATGGTAGTAGTGGTTTTAATAGGTCTAGTTTAACATCTCCTTTCTTGCAGCAAGTTTTAAACATTGAAGTTTGCTTTGAACTATTAGAAGTTCGTTCATCTATCCAATGCAAAGCTCCACAGGAGTTGCATTTAATAGACCTAGTTCCTAAATGGAATGGTATCCATTTATGATATAATGAGATAAATGCTATGGGATAATTGTAATTTTGATCCTGCTGTTAGGGGGCAGCCAATTCTAAGTCAGGCGAATTGTAACTGGGGCCGATTTAGTTTCTCAGAGAGTGGTCAAGAAAGCTTGTAA